TATTTATTTATTTATTTATTTATTTATTTATTTATTTATTTATCTATCATATCTTCAAACATCCTATCAAATTTTATTAAGAGGGAAAGCTGCTATAATTTGAAAGGACAACAAATGTTTGTTAAACCGAAAATCCGAACAAATTTGAAGGACAGATGCACTTCAGTAAAAGGTATAAGACTATGGAATAATCTGGAAAATGATTATAAAAACATTGGATCAAATAATTCCTTAAAAAATGATTAAAGCAAAACTGTTAAAGAAATATGAAAATGTTTATTTTGTATTTGTACGAGTTACTGTTTGAGGAGTATAATTTTTTGTTTTGTTTTATTATTTGGTTTATTATTGCTTGAAAGTAATATAATTTTTTTGTAAATAGGAGCAGATATCATAAGATCTTTTTCTTCTTCTGCTGACTTTCCTTTTATTTGATTTGTATTGTTTTGTTGTATGTAATGTGTTTTGTTTTGTTTTTTAAAATGAAATGAATAAATACTATACAAAAAAAAAAACGTTGAAGGGATACCAAAAAGGAATCTTTCTCTTACCCTGGAACTGAGGTTTAATCTCCCAGGTTTGTGATGCAAAACCCCCAAAGACGTGGCCCTTAGTGTCTTTGATGAGCAGCAGGGTCGGACCATGATGCATCAGGCTCGTCACCATCTTGGTGAAGCTCTCCCCGTGCAGGTGTGTGGAAAACACGAGCCTCCAGGGGGCGCTGTAGTTGTCCGGTAACTACAGGGAATCAAGCACAGACATATAAAGTTTTAAAACGTAAATAAAAGGACATTCCAGATGAAAACCTACAATTATGCAACAATCCCCGACCTGTGGAGCCAGAAACATGAGGGTGGGGAGGTCCAGCAGACATTTCAGGTTTGTCCAGGACGTCTCTATGCACGGGGGCAGCAGAGTTGGAGCCACCCAAGAACTCAGAGACACGTTTAAACCTTCAGCTACCAGAATCTCCAAATACGCTGAGACATGGGAGACTCTGAAGAGCCAGTCCTCCAGACATGAGACGTCACAAGTTCCTTGATCTGAGACATCAAAGAAAGCAATTAGGTGTCATAATACCTTAACGGGTTGAATAAAATCAGTAATTTACCTGAAAGTTTGAGCTCAGAACACATCTGTTCTGTCAGGAGTTTAACACCCAGGGAGGTATCACCCATTTGATCAGGATGCCAGCCTTGAAGACGCCCCCTGCAGGTCAGAATATGAACTACAGCGGAAATCAGGTCCTGTAGAAACTGGGGGGGRAAATGCAAGAAGTAAACCTCAGAAATCCATGTTTTGTTATTTCCTCTTTAATTTCCCCCTTTACTCACTTCAGCCACCTGTTCATAGGTGACATATTTTGGTACTCCAGCTGCACTGTGAGACATCGCCAAGACCAGGGGGGCCCSTTCCTCTACAGTACCTCGCAGGGTGTCGGCAAGAAAGACGATCAGTTGTTCCCGGCTGGCTCCGGACGCGGCAGCAGGCAGTTGGCTGGTCTTCGCCGTGTCTGAAGGTGTCTTTTCTGTTTCTGATGGTTCCACCTGTCCCGGGTCCAGGCTGCACATGCCCTGATAAATCCTCTTCACCATGGAGTCTGGTACCAAACTGCCCATTGTGGACTGGAAGAGAGACAACATGAAGGGTGCAAATATTTACAGCAAAACCTTATTACAGTCTGTGCATAAAAATGACAATCAGACACAAAAATAAGCAGAAACCTGTTATTTACAGGAGAAAACGTAGACTTTAAAGAATCAACTAATGTCAGAATCATTACATCACAGTTTTCGGTATTAATATTCCCACCTGAAGCATTTCAAGAGTTAGAGTTTTCCCTGCTTTTCCCGAGGCCCCATCGTTGCCCTGAAGCTTGTCAAACAACCCGTCGACCACGGACCGCTCCTCTGGTCGAAACCGGGCCAGCCGCTTCTGCACCATGACACTGTCACTGTTACCCATAATGCTCTGCAGTCAAACACACCTAAAAAAAAAAGGGCAGAACACAAAAGCAGACATTAAGTTTTCTGTAGGATAGAGACGTCTTTGAAAACAGCTGATAAAGTTTAGTAATGTTTTAAATTTCATTGGGCTTAAGACTCATTTCATGAATACATCAGCTCATTTATTTGACCCTTAATGACAAAAAATAAACAACTTTTCAGAGGGTGTGTTCTGGACAGTCTGCCCGGATTATTATTTTATTGTCCATCACACGTTATTGTATTTTCTACAACTGATGGAGATTTATGCTAGTTACAGATGCACAAACCAAGTTACCAATCTGGTCCATAATGGATGTCTTGTACATGCAGATATGGGGTTAACGGAAATCCCGTATCTGCTTCCACAAGGAGCCGGCTCTTGTAGAAGCCGAACTTTAAAAAACAGTGTTGTGGCAAACATACACATGCATGGTACTTTTGGACCGCAAGAACATTTCACTGTTCTTATAATCATTTAGCTCTCCAGCGGCCCTCTGGGTCAAAAAAAAAAAAATCTGCAAGGTCTCACTATTAAGACTGAGGCTCATGGGTCATTTTGACCTAAGGAGAGCAAGAGAATAAAACCAATTTCTCCTTATAACTTGTTTTGTTTTTCAGGTGCTATTTCAGAGCTTCAATAGCACGAGGAAAAAGGATCAATGCGAACAACAATAAAGATGATGTGATTGGTTAAATAATCTGAACCCTCAACCACCACCAGCCACATTTTTAAGAATTATTATTATTATGTCATGTAAAACATCTGCTTCTATTTCTAATCAAGATTTGCTGTCCAAAATGAAACAAAAGACAGAAAAGTGTGTCTAATTGAACAAACACAAGATGATTTATTAATTAAAAGAGGAACAGAAGATGGGACATCATGTGATGATCTTGTGAAGGGGTTTAACACAAGAAAATATGTGAAAAATATAAATAATCCATGCATTTCTGTTCTTAGATGCGCCTCCTTTCTGGTATATTTTTATACATTTGTTTTTTATAACTAAGGAAAAGCTTTTTTTTTCTGTTCGATCCTTATATTTGTAGCATCATCATTTCTTTTTCCTCCATTAGACTCACATGACTCGTCACGTTGTTTACTACAACCTCTGTTACCGTAGCTACAATGGCGGCCGGTCGATCAAACCCAACGCGAAAAAACGATCAGGATCATTCATAAATATGTCCAGCGCAAGCAAATAGTAAACGTTAAAAATATTTTATTACAGAATAATTTCATTTTACTACATCAAAATATAGTTAACACTGACGTGACGTTGATTAAAAATAATCTCACCATGGTCAACCGTGCTAACTCTGTTGCGCGAGCATCCGAATGTATTATTTGTAAGCAAAAAAGAAACAAAATCTTCGGCTATTGTCCGTCTTCTTGCGATATAAAATGCTAACCCACAACCCGGAACAAATAAATACATAGGTATTCTTGTGTGTCATAATCACGTAAAATTATTTAGGCGTAAAGATATTCTGACGTTTAATGGTAAAGATATATGTTACAAATTTTTCAAATATGAATCAGTGTGTCACTCACCTTCTAACATGAACAGATAACAACAACAACATTGCTGCATCGAGGAGGAGCCAGTTCGGGCAGATAAGATTGACAGTAAAATTACCCAATCAAATCAAAGATGTTTTGGATTTCTTTGTTGTGATTGGACAATGGTGTTGAAAGGCGGGAACATTGTGATTTCCGTCTTTTGAGTTGCGTTCAAGGACAATCACGTTTTTTGCTTAAACGCTGCTAAATGTGGGTCATCGGTGAAACTATTTAATTAACATATTTCTACTTAAATAATGTCTTTTAGATGCAATATCAATTTTTGTAAAAAAGCTTTAAAGGGGACTTAATATGCAAAATTCTCTTTTTTCAGTTTTTTTAAACTTACATTTGGGTCTGTACTGCTTCTAAAAGCAGTCCAAGCACAAAAAAAMCCCTCAAATGTATTTTTGTGTGTGTGTGTTTTGACGTCACAAACTGTACACCAACCCCACCCCAACTAAATATCATATGATTTGTTTTGTTCAAATTTAGTGATAATTTATTAACCTAAACTTAAACCAATTTTGTATTTTTACAAATTATGTTTGCATCATTTCCAACTTTCATTGTAAATCTTCACCCAAACTAAAAAAAWTTTAGTGTCATCTGCGAACAAAACACATCTAAACAACCTCAACACATTTACCAGATCATTCAAGAAACAATTTTGGTCCAAGCACAGAACCCTGTGGAACTCAACATGTAATATCAACAAATTCAGATCTTCGTAAAAACTGTATCCTGTTTGTCAGATAACTAGATACCCAATGTAATACTGGACCTCTCATGCCATATTTGTTCAATTTTTCAATAAGAATGCTGTGATCAATAGTATCAAAAGCTTTCTTTAAATCCACATAAACACTAACACAAATTTGTCTTTGATCAACAGCTGTCGTTTTTGTTCTATCAAATCCATGAGAGCCATTGATGCTGAATTGTTACCTCTGAAGCCATTTTGATTATTACTCAAAACATGTTGTTTATCAATGAGGGTTACAAAAATTATACCAAAATTTTTGAGAACTGAGGTAACAAGGACTAAAGCTGGTAAACATAGATTTCGATATATGCGGTATATTTGTTCCAATCAGAGGGGCTGTAGGCCCAAAAGGAGAAACACCTCCTTGTCCTAAATTAAAAAAAAAAAAAAGTTATTCTGTAACGTTTAGGTTCTAACTCAAACTGAAGAACTCATACTTGTATGAAAAACTGGTATTGGGACACCCCTACACATAACTCTTTCAGCTCCATCCTGCCATCACTTATCAAATACTCACACCCAAAGTCCACAGGGAATGGGAAATAGCCTGCCAATATCCTGTTTGTACCTGCTGCCCCTTAGGCCAGGTCATCAGAAAATAAAAAAAACTGTTCTTGACCATCTAACTAGATTAAATAAAGGTCAAATAAACAAAATAAAGGTGTTGTTGTGTTGTTCTGTTCCTCCTTTCTCCAGCAGAGGGTTCAAACGAGTCGCTCAGCAGAGACAGATTGAGGCTCTCTGATGAAACAGCCAGTGGTTGGGGAAAAAAAAAACACCTTTTATGGGCATGAGATTGAGTGTGCAGAGCCCTCTGAACTGGGTGTGTTGCATTGTWATGAGGTCCTGGAGGACAGCAGGCTCTGCTCAGAGTGAAGGTGAAGTCTCAAACGGGGTAGATAGAGTTAATCAGCTGGAAACTGTTTAAAATCTACATTAATCAGTAAAAGTGGGATGGTTTTCAACAATGTGCCGCCGCTCACGTTTCACACTTTTGTTGAGCCGTGTCCTTGGGTTTCATTATTTTGTCTGTGATGGATATTCTTTCCAGCCCGTGTTTTGTCTCTCTCCCTGTCTTTATTCCCCCCCACCAGTTTTCACGCCTACTGGGATTCGTTCTCACTGTCCTGAACACACAAAACCTTTGAGATATTTACTTGCTTTGACACACTTGGTGAAAAATGCTTCTACAGAGCTTTATGACGAGCAAATAATGTTGATGTGTTGTTTAAACATGACCGTGGTAGTCACAGGGCTGAATCGAAGTGTGCGTGTGAGAGGAAGTGAGGGTGGCAGAATGCTACTTTATAAAGAGTGATGCACTTATCAATTTGATCACTCATCTGATCTTACAAAACACAGGAAAACCTCCGATCAGTCGTAAGAGAGAAGCAGGAGGTCAAAGCTGTAGCACAATTACTCTGTAAAGAAACTGAAGGCAAAAACTACTGCTGCAGTTTTTTTCTCACTCATTTGCTTCACATGCATGAAAAACAGAACAACTGTAGTTTAATTTAAGGCTTTAAAAAAATTTATTTGGAACTTTCAGTAAATGTGGGCGTGGTCACTGTTGCATTTATTTTCTTTGCAGCAGAAGGCCAAATAAAGTTTGGTTGTAGTTCCTTGGAAAGTAAAAAAAAAAAAAAAACACCTCCTGAAACCAAAAGGGGAAATCATCTTTCAAATATTAAAAGTTTTTAATTTGTGCTTTTAAGCAAGGCACAGATGTTACATAAGAACACAAGACAGACTTATTTTACTTCACTGACGTCAAAAACGTTTGTAATTATTCAAAACACAGAGCAGACGTACAGACAAAGAACAAACACTGGACCTCATCAGATCATTGTATACATTGAAAATGTGATAACGCTGATAAAACATGTTTCATATGTTGCCTTTGAGTGAGTTTAATTGATCGGAAGCTCAGAATACTCAAGAAAAGAAACGGATCAAACAAAGTTGTCCCAAAAGAGTAATGATAAATAATCGTTTACAGTTCATTTAAATCTYAACTTCCTGGATTTTTTGTCAGATTTTGCTACAGCTGCAGTGCATTAAAAGGGACATGTCACACAAGATCCACTTTTTTAGCCATTTAATACATTTTGTTGTGTACTTGGAGTCTCTAGGAGTGCACAAGATCTTAATTTTGTCTCACCATGTGCAATGTCTTTAAATCCTCTATGGGTCATATTTTTCAACTCATTCAGTTTGCTCAATTTTATGTTTTATAGCACAGATTTTTTTGTGCTGCTATGTAGTCGTAAACCTCAAACTAGAATGGACCACTCTAGAATCTGGAGGAGGCTGGGGTATGAAGTGCCTCTGGATTTAAAGAAACAGCCTCAAAATGAGTTGATCTGAGACCAGCCTCAGAAAAGGGGCGGGGCTTGTGGAGTTACAATAAGGAGGAATTCAGGCCGAAGCATTGCAGTTCCCCTTTATATAGACCGCAAATGAAGGATTTAAATGTGAAAAAGACGGATTTAAAAGCAGGATATGTTTCCATTAATGCTCAGACACTGAAGGACACTTCTAGCTCAGACTGAAATAGGAGTATATGATCTTGAAGGAAAAACACAAAAAAGTTGGTGGACGTGTCAAATCTTGCAAAAGAGGATTTTTTATAAACAAATCAGGACATGAGGGAAGTGGCTGCAGCTGAGAGTGATGAACAGGAAACAGGTGTGACAGGTGGGAGTGGGTGGAGCAGAGCTGATTGAGGGGGAAGTGTCTGATGGCACAGAATTCAAAACATGTTCCAAGCCGAGGCCCATCTGTTAATATTTATTGAAAAAAATGTTATACACCAAGTTATTCTSATAGAAATACAAATGACCTTCTAATTATGTTTATGTAACATTTAGAACATACATAACTTAATGGTTAAAGAACAAAATAAATTTAGAAAACTTCTTAAACCTTCATCAACAGTTTTATACATTATTTCTTACAGATACATTTGATCACAATACAGCAAATCAGGTAAAACAAAAAAACTAATTAAAAATCCAATTATTTGTCTTTAAAATATAAAGAGAATACAGAAAAAGATCATTAAAGTGCCTGTTTCATGCTTTTCCTTCACAAAAAGTAAAAGAAAACATCTTTACTGTATTTAAAAAACTTGGCATAAAACACTATTTTATCTATTTTGCACATAACTGGCACATTTTTCTTTTGAACTTGGCTCAGTTAATGTGAAACAGGAAGTGACATGAAAATGGATTTCTTTAGGAAATTAAACTCCCTGCTAGTATTTTACATTTAAAGTGTTAAAATGTTAACAGGGGTCAGATTTGGCCAGCGGGCCTCGACGGAGGAACACAAGAGAAAAAATAGCAGAACAATGGGGATATAAGCTAACAAATGACTTAACGTAATTTTAACTTGGTTTAAGGATTACAAGTGTAGTAACATCAGTCTGCTCCTTGTTGCAGGTGGAAACACACTCAGGTCTCAGGCTCGCGAGTCTGAACTGATTCAGCCGCCAACAAGTCGAGACTTGAGGGTTGAGTCTTGTTACTTCTTCTTTTCTCTTCCTCCTCGCTGCTGCATCCCTATAAGGTAAAAGCTTCACTGCTAAGTGACTGAACAGGAAATCTATCATTTGACTACGAATTAGAAAAAAAAAAGCAAAAAGAAGCCACGTGAGAGCTGATATGTTAAATTTGCGAAGACGCCTATTTCTAGAAAGAGGTTCTTTGCGTGCCACTTGTAACTGGCSTCACTTCCTTTTTCTGTTTACTCGGCTCCACTCAGAAACAATCGGAGTGTACAGTCATTCATTTTCATCGACCAGCTTCAGCTCATAAAGACACGCTTTAAAGACTGTTTTTAGATTTCAGAGCTGAGTTTTTCCCTCTCCACACGTCTCACTGTACCTTTACTGTCCTCTGAGTGCTTTGCATGTGTGTACCAAACAATTTGAATGACTCCAGAGTCAAGTTTTGTTTTTGTTTTTTTAAACCTGACCTCTTCCTGTGTCTGTGTGCGTCTGCGTTCACCGCAATGTACCWGCAGCTCATCTTCAAAACTCTGCCCTGCGTGTGTCTTCTGCAAAGAAAAAAAGT